ATTCTATGATTCTATGATTCTAAATGTGCTCAAGACAAGATAGCCTCCATGACTGAGAAGAGGTAAAAGAAGACACGGTACCTATCTTCAACCTTATATTCCCAGTGCTAAGAGGAATCAAGGAAATGTAGATGTTGATGTTACTTTACAGCAGTACTTGTCAATACAAAGCAAAGCCATTCCCAAAAATGGAAGAATAGAAATGGTGACAGACTGTGCCATGATGACTTTCAAGGGCTTATAACACTTGAACACTTAGTTGATATCTCTGACTGCTTCAATAAAAAAATGTTGTGATAAACAGTTATCACTGACAAGGAAGAGATTGGAAAGGTTCTCAGAAATCAGCAATATTCTCCCCAGAATTCACCTCTGTTGTGTTTGTTTGTTTGTTTGTTTTACACAAAAAAAGGAGGACAGATCTGAGGGCAATGTCAGATCTTGTGCCTGGCAAGCAGTGCCGTTCTGGTGGATTTCTGCAAGGCACAACAAACAGGGGTATGCAGCGAACATAAACGAGCTGTGGGATTTTTTGATTCTTTTCTGTCTCTTCGCTAGCACTCTTTCTCCTCCACTTTGGACCCTTGTTTCACATTTCCCCATCAGTCACTGGCACTGGATATTTCACAGAAGGTCCTGTTGCTTGAATTGTCTGGGAGGAAAATTCTGCTCACTCTCTGCCTGCTGCATTTCTCACCCAGAGAATTCAAAATGCATTTGGAAAGTGTCTGTGAAAGGTTTTAACCGCCCTGCTAAACCTTTGAGTGCTGCTTTTAAAGACTGTCCATTATGTGGAGGAGGCTTCTGACAATGGCCTGGGAACATGAGACCTGAGCCTGCTTCAGCAGCTGGCTCTCCTTCCTGGCACAGCAGCAGGCTGTCACGGCGCTGCTGGCTGAGCGCGGCTCACAGCCACCTCATCCCTCCATGGCGGGGGCACTCAGGAGTCCGCTGAAAAAAAAGCAGGGTTTTGCTGGAAAATGCTGATTAATCAAAACTGAGCTCTTTTGTGGGAAAACATCTCTGACAAACTTCCAAAGAAACCGAGGAAAGTTTGCACTGGAAGTGTCCTCCTTTTCTGTCAATGTGCCTAATACCTGATAGGTGACCAAAACTCCTAAGCCTTGCTTCTTCAAGGTCTAGGGCTCCATCAGTCCATCTGCTAGGGCTGCTGGCTAGCCAACAATCTAGAGAACTGTGCTCCTGGGCTCAGTTTCATTAATTTTGTGGTAGTATAAACATTCCTTTAAAAAATCAGACTTCTACCATGGGAAATGACAAAATTTTGACTTTTCAACCTGAAATAAAAGAACTTCCAGCAGAAAAGGAATTTCACTGTATCTTTGTCTTTGCTAACCTTTCCATGCTTCTTTGGAAGGAAGTACTCAAAGAAATGTTCACAAATCCTGTGGTACCATTGTCTCACTTCTGTTTTCCCTTGATGCTAATAGTTAAGTAGGTTAGTCAAAACTAGCTAGAAGCACATGTGCTTCTCAAATTCTACCTCAATTCTCAAAAATAGTCTCCAATTAAAATGTGGACTGCATTAATTTATTGCAGTTGACTATCAGTCTATTACGTTGTCCATTCAGCCAATTTTTGTCCTCAGAATATATAGTTATAGGTTATACGTACTATAGCTGATACAGTAAAAGCAACTGCTTCAGTAAAATCAGCTGCTTCCACCGTTCTGTGATCACATACAACCATGTCAAGAAAAACGAAAGCTAAATGAAGGACTAGTCGAAGGTATGAGTTTAAGTTATCGGTATACAATGTTCTGATGTTGTTCAGTGCTACCTCTTATGAAAGGACGACTACACATAAACATTTCCATGGGGAAAACATACCTTTGGGTAATGCACATATTAAAATTATCAGTATCTAAACAATAAATTAATATTGAATTGTATTTTTGTTATAAACTGAAAAGAGAACCATAGGAATCAAATTAATCCAATCACACAACAGCATTTTTTCATTTTCTATTTACGTTTATTTTTCAAAGGTAATGCTGTAATACATGTATCACATACTGCAGTGCATTAGAAGCAGGGAAAAAAAAAAACCCAAAGAACTTCATTAAAATGGCAAAGCCTAGATTCTCAAAACCTAGATTCTGCAAGTGTTAGAGAAGGAAAGTGGTCATACGTAGATGAAACCATTACAGGACATGGATTTTGTTTGGTTTCTCTTCACCTTTTAGTTGTCATGTATGTTAAGTATAAAAAGAGGATTGATGGAAAGCTTTTGTACTGTGCAAATCTGTATAGCAAATTTACTTGGCATAATTTTTGCAGTACCTTTTCTTTAGAGGTGATATATCTGTGAACATAATCTTGTTTCTTATATGATATCCTTCAAAAATTCACCAGCTGTGGATAGAACACCTCTCTTAAAACTTTCCTTTGATGTTTGTGTGAACTCCTAAAGCATCATTCTTTGCTTCAGTAGGACTCTGTGCCATACTCCTTCTTAGTACTAATATCGATAGCAGTATTGCTGAATATTGTTCAATATTGTTGTCACGGTTCATGTTATGTTGGTAATGTACTGTGCTTTGTATTCACATAAAAAAAAAACCCACCTCAACAGTATTTAATGTATAAATAAGTGTTACTTTGTTATGTGCAGAATTTGCACGTCTACCACATCACTGGGCGTCACTGGGACATAGCTCAGGTGAGGGCCAAGGGCAAGTGATGGAGACTGAATGTGGATCTGGAGTCAACGGTGCTGGTTGCAGCACTTTCTCAGCTCTCCCCTTCAAAGCCTCAGCACGGCTTCGTATCAGAGCTGACCCTGCGCCCAGGCAGCCAGCCCCGGGGGGGTTGTGCTCAGGGTCCTGACAATGCCTGCACTCGCCTTTGGTGACGGGGAGGGGAAAAAAGTCAGTGCTTTCGCTCTGTGCGGCATCTTGAAAACTGGTAACACCGGTGTTACTGTTCTTATCTTAGTACTGACTACTAAATTTCTTTATCCCACAGGAAAATATCTTTTTTGAGAGTTTCATTGAACTTGTGCTAATATAAAGGCAATTTCCCCACTGGAAGTATCAGGGCAATTTACATTAATACTGAGGGGAAGTAGTCATCTTTGATCTCTGACTTTCTTCGTTTTTCTACTTGTCTTTATGGGATGCATCATTCAGATGAGCATTTTTAATGATTACAGATTCTTTTGAGAAATAGGTTTTGGATCTGGTGGTGGTCTTTGAGCCTGAAAGAAAGCTCAGAAAGCAAGTAGTTAAAAAATGTTGAGGAAGTAATTTATGAACCAATGAAGCTTGGAAGCCACTGAAGTAATGTTTGTGATATTTTACATTAGGAATACCAGCTACTACATGGTATATGTGATTTAACTATTTGTTGGCTATTCCTGTGTTAGAGGGGTTCCCACCTTCCTCTGATGCCTGTGATGCTGCACAACTTTTCAGATCCTTTCTTTTCTTCCCAGCACTCCCAGCTATAACTATGCACCAAACATGGATAAGCACTGGATCATGCAGTACACGGGGCCCATGCTGCCTATCCACATGGAGTTTACAAATGTCTTGCAGCGCAAAAGACTTCAGACCCTGATGTCAGTTGATGACTCTATGGAAATAGTGAGTTCAAGAAACTACTGGGAATACAATCTTATTAGTTGAATACAAAATTAAATGAATTCTTTCTTTACCTTCACCAACCACAGCCTGGGCAGAGCCCCTGGGCTACAAAGAATTGCTCCACATATCCTCAGTAGAAATGAATTCTGTTTATGTTCTCTACAACATAGTGCCAAGCTCCTCGCTTGCTTCTTTCAATTGCTGGGTGAATAAACTGATGATTTTTTAAAAGGGGAAAGTCACTGGGCCTAATATAAAGCCTGGTATTAACAGAAGATGCATCACCTGCGTGTACACTTGGATAGACACAGGTGCACACATGACAACATCTATTCATTTCACACACTCCCTTCACAGTTCATCCTTCAGCTGAAATCTGGGAATTGGCAAATCACAGCAACTCAGGTGTCAGTCTGCTAGTGTTTGCAGAAGTTAGGCAACGCAGTGTACAGCTAATTATAGGTAACGTGATACGTGAACTATTAGGTGTACTTTGCACGACTTTTTGTTCAAAAATCAAGCACCATGACCAAAGATCTTCCCCCAGAGACATTTCTTTAAATTTTAATAAAAATTTACAGCCTTTTCCCAAGCCCACAACTGTAAGGAATGAGAAAGTTGTAGACTAACACTGTAAATCAAATTTGAGGACCATTTGCCCTAAAGCTGTAGCAGACTTTTTTCCCAAGCTGTGTTTGAGTACACAATGACTTTTGGACATACTAATGCAGCTATATTAGTATTAACATATTTTGCTATTTTAATTTTCTGGACCTGTTTAATTTTCCCCTCTGCCAAATGTGAAATTGAACTTGTAAGTTGAATTTTTTAACAGCACAGTAAAGACGAGATGTAAAAATGTCCATCCCCAGAATGTCTGTTTCAACAACCTCATCGATGTCATGTTTGGTTCTGTGTATTTAAGGGAGTAAAATGATGGTTATACATGATTATGCGCAAAACATGTTTGGCTACATTTAATTCAGAGTTTTTCCTATGCTGTGTTGCAGTTATACCAAATGCTTACAGAGATGGGAGAACTGGAGAATACCTACATTATTTACACTGCTGACCATGGTTACCATATCGGGCAGTTCGGACTGGTCAAGGGGAAGTCAATGCCGTATGACTTTGATATTCGAGTTCCTTTCTTTATTCGTGGTCCAAGTGTAGAGCCGGGATCAGTGTACGTTCTCTTATGTCTCTAGCACAGCTGTTGAACCTAATGTAAAATGTTTCTAAGAGCATGTAATTATCGCTCTATCTAGTTTCATTTCATAAAGAATGTCCTATTATTGCAGAGCAATGAGTGTTATAAAAAGGCTCGTCTTTCATTTTGCATATTATTAATAAGTTATAATGCAGATAAGAAAGTTGTATAATGTGTAGTCCTGTAGGGTTAGGTTTTGCTTTTAAAAAGTAGGTGGTCATCTTTACTGCTCACTTTCTGGTGTAGCAGAATGAATGGCATCATGCCCTCATTGTCAATGAGATAAGAGTAGTAGCTACTGCACCTCCTTGTTTTATTGTGCTTAGCTTTTTCTTTGTGATGACACTCTGCAGTACTGGCCTGTTGTTCTCAGAATTGTAGCCTTCAAAGGGGATTTTCTAAACTTAACACTTCTGTAGAGCTTTACATCTTCAAAGCCCTGATAAACATTCATTACCATTCTATTTCCAAGAGAATGTGAAGACTTACACATTGAACACATGACAACTATGACCTTTTCTGTTGATTTGCAGAGTGCCTCAGATAGTTCTCAATATTGATCTCGCTCCAACAATTCTGGACATAGCAGGACTTGACACACCTCCAGATATGGATGGCAAATCTGTCCTAAAGCTTCTGGACTTGGAGAGGCCAGGAAACAGGTGGGTCCCAGCATTTTTTTTTAGCCATTTCAGAAGCAAACACCTAAGTAAATCAACAACTGAGTGGAAAAAGATTCTGTGAGAATGAGCTGTGTCATGCCAACGACCACAGCTTTCACATCTATAAAATTGCAGGTATATATAAGCAGAGAGGTGTTTTTTCAAAAACAAATTGTTAACACTAGCAGTGCTATACATAGGTGCCAGCAGTAAATATTATTATTTTGCTTTCAGGTTTCGAACAAACAAGAAGACCAAAATTTGGCGTGACACATTTCTGGTGGAAAGAGGGTAATTATTAGGGGTGAGAGAGTTTTGGGAGAGCCTGCCTGCTGGGGACACTCTCTTGTACATGTTTTCCTTTCTGGTCCCTCCTCTTCCTTTTTATGGTCAGCAAAGTAGTAAATTTTGCAAGCAAACTTACAGGCCTGACTTGTTTCCTAGTTTCCCACCACTGGCTTTGCAAGCTTCTGCGCTCCCAAATCCCTACCTCTGAAGAAATTTGAAAGCATGCTTTTCTGGTGACTCTCCTAGCCCGTACCTCCTCTTTCTCTAACATTGTACTTGTGACTACTTATGTCATCATCTGACTCATTTTCTTTCCAAATCTCGGTTTCAAATCCAGCTATGCAGAACCCTCTTATCAACTGATTTTGTATTTTCCATCACATATTGGAAGCATTCTTTATTTTTGTTCTAGCTAAGAAAAGACTTATGTGTAAATGAGACATGAATATAACTGCTCCTCTTTTCACTGATCCCTCTTTACACCCTCTCACCTTGTCAATTACTGCTGTGAAAATTTTCTCTGAGTAAAAATTTTACAGCAATTTCCTTGTGGCACTTTTTGGCTTTAGAGATTATGGAAATCTTGTGTGATGTAGTACAAAACAGTGCATATAAGACACATTGTAATATATAAGATATAGCCAAGCTAGTGCTGAATGAGTATGGAAGCCCGTTAGCCTCTTCAGCTGGGCTTTTCAGCCAGGTAAGTACTGCTTCAGCATGTTTTGCTTTGTGAAAGAACATACATTTGTGTATGAATGGTGCTGAACTGTATCAGTTAGACATATTTCAGCAGCCCTTATTTCTCTTTGGGTAATTTCCAGCAAATCACCTGAGCCTTTTTTTCACTACATGACCTACATGGAAGGTCAGTAACAGAAATGTGGGGATTTTTTTTTCCCTGAGAAGACGTTAAATTTTCAAGTAGCTTTGCTTTTCCAGTTAAATTAATAATCTCCAGAGTTTAGAAGAATGTATCTAAAATATTCAACTTTTTTTTTCTTAAAGCAAATTTCTACGCAAAAAGGAGGAACCCAACAAAAACACTCAGCAGTCTAATCAACTACCAAAATATGAGAGAGTAAAAGAATTATGCCAACAAGCAAGATACCAGACAGCCTGTGAACAACCAGGACAGGTAAGCCACAAACAACTGCAATCTTTGTGCCAGAGGCAAATACCTATTTTTCACTAGGGGTCAAAAGAATTTGAAGAATATGGCATTTGGAAGATAGCTAAAAGACCATTATTCTGAATATCTTCCGAGCAAAGAAAACCAGACACAAATTGCTCTAAGCAACGGTCCAATTTAAGGTGTTGGAGGGCTGGTCCTTAGTTTGCTGTCTCAGTACAGGGTTTATGGTAAAACTCCCATGCTCAAATATAACATTAGATGACTGCTTTTTCTTTGATTCAGTGTATTGCTAAATATGCAAGATAATCTAATGATAATTATGAATAAGGGAGAGAACCTTTTTGAGCAGTGAAAGCTTGTACTCACTGGGCTAATTCAGAATTACTGAAGCAAATTGGTTAGTCCTATGGTTACGCATTATTTCATTTGCTGGGATGAACAACTGGACAACACACTTGGTAATCATCATGCTTTATTATTTATTGAAACACCTTTAATAGAAGAGTCCCCTTGGTCAGAAGCGCTTGCTGTTTAAGGTCACTGTAAGAAATCAGAGAGTGATACCCATACCCAAGCATTACTTTTTCTTCTCATAGCCTTAGTGATTTCAGCATAATGCCTGCCTGATACAAAGGTCTAATTGCCTGCTCACAAAACCAGAAGTCACTGCACCCCTGACTAATATGCTTACACCTGCAGCTCTGTAGTGTGTATACAGGGAGGGAGCTAAATTAAGAAAAAGTGAATCTGACCCCAAATTCTCTTCAATCCGTTCTGAATTAGTGCTGAATTAATGTTACCTACGGTAACATATAAAGGTGAATTTACTGGGGAGATGTGGAAGGGAGCTGTACGCCTTCCCACCGACACCACCTCCGATCAGGAACATGCTGGGGGCCCCAGGCAGCGGCTCGCACCCTCCCTGCCATCCTCCCTCTCCGTCCCCATCCCCACACAGCTCCCTGGAGGAGTGTGAGGCGATTTCTCCCAGGCAGGCGCTTGCTTTCCCTCAGATGTTTGCTCAGACCGCTGCAGCCGGCTGTAGGCCTGGTGCTGAAATATCAGTAAGCTGTTTTGAACGGGAGCATAAAGCCTCACTGTGCTCCACTTCCATCTGCAGCCACCCATGGTGCTTCACCCAGGGCAGGCAGAGCTCTGCACAACAAACTGGAGGGCACTGGGGACAACTCGCTCACTTAAAGAAATGCTCCGTCCCTACCTTTCCCCTTTTCGTTCATTAGAGCGTAGTGTTACAGTAAATCTCGGTTAATCCCAGATTGGACTGGAATATGTTTTGGCTGCCATATCCTCGGTCAGATCCTCTGCGACAGCTCTCACCTCACACATGATCCTTAAACGTGGCTGCTTTTGAAGGAATATACACAATATCACAGTCTCACCCAAGAGGAAAGTTTTCAGGAGTTCAAACACTGCCATTGTAAACAGAGATTATATTTGAAAAATTTATATTTTTATATAAAAACCAAAGGAGATCAATGGAGTCATTTAGACTGTTAGACGCTAAAATGTTTAGTTTTAAAATACCAAAATATTTTCTTTGCAATTATTTCTTATATTTATTACCTCTTATGCCAAAATCCAGGCTTGGAATAGCTTTACTTTTCCACATGTGAATAGAAAAGGTTAAGTGTCCTGACCAGATATCACACCTGAAGCAGTAGGAAACACTGCTCACAGCCGTGTTCCCAGCCCACTGCGGTAGACTTGTCTTTCCATCTCATATTGGTGAATCCCGAGGGCGGAGGGAGAAGGCCTTGAGTCAGCAAGGAGCTTACAAGAGCAATGGTGTTTGATAGCGGCTCTCCCACCTACGAACTCCCATTGGGGTCCTTTAAATGCAGAAGATACATTGGCTCCACAGAGCCCAGCAGCCATCCCTCAGAGTTGAATGAAGGACAGGGCTGAATTGACCTTTTTAAGACCAATTTTCAGACCTAGCCATCGACGTATGTAAATTATTTTCTTAAACAAAGAGAACAAAGTTGTGCCTGATACTTCTAACATTCTGAAGGTTTCTTGCAGGGATGCCAAAGTTAAACATGCCTACAGAAACCTCCCGTCAGAAAGAGCAAGGGCAGTTTCTCTCTCAGGAATGGGCTATATGCAGTGCTCACAGGGAAGTCAACATAGAATAGGAAGGGTGTGAATTTAAAGAGCAACACTGGAAATAACATGAACGTCAGCAAGGCATTGCAGTGTGAAATAAGTGTCAGCAGGATTTTTTCCATGTAGAAAAGTTCTTAAAGAAAATTAAAAGCTAACAGGCCAAATAATTTTACTTTAGCCCACGTGGTTCCTGATGTGCAATATGAGGCATCATAGTTTAATATGAGATTCTTCCAGCAGATTTCCCCTAGTCATTTTGCACCTCTTGGAAAAGAGAAAGAGGAAATATTGTTATGTGGGTCTTAACTTTGTTTTATCTTTTGAGATTAGTATCTTTAATTTAAATTACATAGGTGCATATACAGGAAAAAATCTTCATTTTAATTATGATGGTTTATAATACTTCCTACATTTACTCTAACTGGTTGCAGTTAACATCACTTAAATTAAAATCGCCTTCACAGAATGAGTGATTGCTGACAGATTCTTAAATAATGAAATTACTCGTCTGTGGGAAGTTGCTGCTAAATGTCTGGAACTAAGAATAAGCATTTGGTGAATTAATACACCAATGTACTGTCTAGTACATTTAGAGCTTGTTCTTCATTTTAATTTACTTTAGTCAATATCTAGTTCATTTGAAATGGAGAACACAGTTGGGAGTTGAAAAAGAAGGTTTAATACAGGTTTTCCTGTATGAAAATGAGGTGTGATCCTGAGACCTGCTAGTTCCAAAATCTCCAAGGATGTGGTACTCAGAAAAGTAATTGCTTCAGCTTATTCTCTATTTAATAAGTAACGTCTAAACAAAAAAAAGAAAAACAAAGAAAAAAAAACTGGCATAGTAAAGGCACTTTTTTAATTAAAATTTTCAAAATTTTAATTTTTTTTTCTATGCCCAATGTCTATCCGAAAGTAGGTAAACATAAAAAATGGAAAAAAAAAGAAAATATTAAACATTTGTATAATTGCTATAATTATTCCATAATTTTTTAAGTTCTAAATGATTGTTTGCCAAAAAGAGATAGGAAATTTAGATTATAGTTTGCATTTAGCTGCAAATCAGTAAGGTTTATGGGTTACCAAAAAAAAAAGTTTTGTTTCATTAAGAAAAAATAGTTATAAAATGCATATAAAAAATTAAGTTAAACTACTTTCACCATGATTTTTGTTTTTATTTAAATGTTTTAGCACCATTGACAGATTGCATCACTTTCATTGTAGAGCACCTTCCCCTTGCTATTTTTTCACGATCCCCTTTATGGGAGGACAGTTTCCAAAAGTTCACTCACCTCCTCGAGAACATATCAGAAATGAGATGTGCACAACTGCATGGATATGTTCACTTTTGAGTTATTTTCAGCCAGTCATTAACTCGGGTCAGCACTGAGCCCTCACGGAGGAGAGGACTGCGCCTGCTGAGCTGCGTTAGCAAAAGCATAACTAACAGGTCATGGGAAACGATTACTCGCCTCTCCTTGGTGCCTGTGGGCTGCAGCTGGAGTGCTGCGTTTGGGTTGGGACCTCCATTAGCAGAGGGACACCGGTAAACTGGAGCAAGTCCAGTGGAGGACCCCAGAGATGGTCAGGAAGTACTGAGGAGGGACACAGGTTTGTTTAGCCAGGAGAACAGAAGGCGAAAGGGGAATCTAATTGCTTCCTTCAACTGACTAATGGCTAATTAGAGAGAAGACAGACCCGGGCACTTCTTGGAGGTGCACAGCAAAACGGCTATCAGCAACAGAGAAGCTGCAGCAAGGGAAAGTCTGACTAGGTGTGTGGAAAAAAAAGTTACTGTAAGAGTGATTAAGCATTGGAGCCCGAAGAGGCTGTGGAAGGCCCATCCAGGGATACTTTCAAAACCTAATAATGTTGTTCCTACTTTGAGGAGGAGGTTGGACTAAATGACCTCCAGATGTTCCTTCCAGCAATTGCACTTAATTGCTCTTAATTTTTTGCTTGCTTAATACCTGGACTTGAGGATTTCACATTTTCTTCCTCCTCCTCAGCTTCGTAACCTGGGAAGCGCTGTTAATTTTGTCCATCTTGTGAGTGAGTTATGGGTCACCTGCCCATATCATATTTGGATACAGACTAGATTTCGGCTCCCCCCCTGACCCAACTGTTGACCTGCGCTCACCCGCAGCACAGCCGGTCCCATCACACTCAGGCGGGGTTCACTCCCCCCGCAAAGGGAGCAGCAGCGGGGTGGGCTCTCTGCTCAGCTTTGGGGCTTGGGGTGGGGTAGGTGTTTCCTTTGCGGTCCCTCCTTCACATGCCAGAGAGCGCTCATGAAATTACGATGGGAACCGGAGGTTTCCTTCGTAGTTTATATGCCAAATTTGTTACCAGTTTATGTGGTGTAACTTACTGAGGTCACCTGATTGAGCCCAGTTGGTTTAGTAGTGACTATTGATGGTTTTAGCACTTAAATGGTTTGCAGGTTGTTTTTATATTTCATTAATACGTATTTCCCCTCTCAGCTTTACTGTAGTAAGGTACACAGAATAGAAATATCTATTCATCTGCAACATTGCTAATCCTGCTGTTGTTTTAAAATGGGAAACAATCAGTGCGAACTTTTAACTAAAACTTTGTTAAATCTCCAATAGAGCAGAAATAATAGCATGTGAACAAATGTTTCTCTGGATTAATACAACCTTATCATGACACAAATCTCCTCTCAGATTTCCACTGAAATAACCTGAGATGAGAATATATGTTAGTTCAGGAGGTTTAGAGGCAAGCTGCTCTTAAATCCTCTGGCAGGTTATTTTTGTTGAACTCACTCCATCTTCTCTTCACTTCCATGAAATTCTTCTGGATACTTAGGAAATATCAAATAAAAGCATGTTAACTGTGTTTTCATTTATACT